TCTGAGACCTTTAATATTTGAAATAATATGATTTGAGATCAATGTAATGAACACAAATCATGATCAGAAGTAATGCTTTTAGATAACATGATAACTGTAAAGTTTGATTCTGGTCTCAGACACGGTCACACAGTCAGTCTACTCAGAAGACTTTTTCTTTGAAATATTTTCTCTAATACTTGTTAGAAGAATAGATGTAATTAGCTTTACTCTATTCTTAAGCATTTCATTTGAGATATCTTGACTCTGATTTTAACAGAGCTCACTCTGCTTTTCAGATTTCAGCTGTTTTACACTTTCTTCAACTACTTTTCAATCAGGTTTTTCAAAGTTATACTGATTAGAGAGAAGAGGATTTTCACTTCTTTATTTTTCACTCAGTTCAATATTAAATTGAATGATCTCATAACCTGATTCTGAGGTCTTATTCAAATTAATAAACCAGTTTATAAGTCTTTTTTCAATTAGATTTTATGATATGAAAGTTAGATTTATAATAGATTTCTGTTTCATGTCTTTTCTAAAGAATGTTTATTAATCAGACTTGTTAACTAAATCTATTGAACACTTAAAAGATTATTCAATCAGTTCATCTACTCTTACTGCTCTTCTGCATTCTGAGTTTCATCAGAGATAATGTGCATTGAAATCTCCTACAATTATAGAGTTTCTTGATAAAGTTATGTTCAGAAATCCTCTATTAATTATTCAGATGTTATTATTTTTCTTCAATAACTTCTCATTACAGATATTTATAAGCTGTATAGTATTAAACTTATTCTCTTTATTTATTATATCACTCATCAGAATATCGGAGTTAGATATAATATCAAATCTTAGATTAAATTAATATCTTAATCTCTTTCTTTTATATATTACTACTCTTGACTTTATCTCAGATATTTGAGATAGAAAGTAGTAGTAGCTTGAATAAGAAATAATGTATTTTTACTCAGCATCAAAATTTGGCTTCTGAAGCAGTATAAAATCAACTTTTTATTCAAATACAATTTGAAGATAAGAATAAATGCAATTTAAGTTTTTATTTACATTATTTTAAATAAATGTGATTTTTGAAGAGTTTTTAAACTTTTTTTATTATTTTTATTGTATATTTATACTAAAAGAAAATAGAAATAGAGTAGAATTTAATCACTATCATCAGATAGTGAATTATAACTATTTTGAAAAGCAGTAATCTTAACTGCTTATATTCTATCTAGTTTATTATTAGAGTCATTTCTCAATTCTCTAATCTTAACAGAAGTTTGAGAATTCAAATTCTGTTTACATTTAGCTGAAGAATTGAAGTTTGAAGATTTAGATAGTTAAGAGTTTCTTCTTTTTAAGCTTGCAGTTATAGATTTACTGACTTGACTTTTCTCTTCAGTTTTAGATTTACTTTAAGCTTCATCTTTTCTTCAGTTCTTCTGAGTTCTTGAAGTAAACATACATTCTTTTGAGCTAGATGCATGTTTTTCTTTACAATTAAAGCATTTAAGCAGAGTATGTTGACATATTTCACCTCTTTTTAAGCATATTTCACATTTATACTCACTAGTTATATGATTTCTAGCATAGAATGTGCATTTTGAGTCTCTGAAATAAGAGATTGCAAAGTATCTATATCTTTGACAGTTTGAACACTGTGTTTGAGCTTTGAGATTCATTCTTGAGTCTTTGTATTTATGAACTCTTATTTTCAAACCTGTCACTCTCACTTCAGAGATTCTTGATTATTTAAGTGTCTTTATATACACTAGAATAGAGGCATTTCTTCTCCTTTGTCTGAACTCAATTGAATTTAGTTATATAGACTCTTTTCTAAGTTGAATAGAATTGTATTCTTCTAATTCATTTTTGAGAAGTAGCATTTCTTTCTCAGAGTCAAAAACTTCAACTGAAATATTATAAAGAATGAATTTATCTCACTTTTTATCTCTCTCAGATAGAATTGTTGTATTTATAGTTCTTTATTAAATATGATATTTAAAATTCAACCTGAGATTTAATCATTCTCTCAGTCATTTGACATTCAAACTGAGTTTAATCTCTTTATTTAAGAGATATAGACTTAGTTTTTCTTATTAAATCTGAGAAAAAAGTGAATTAACTCAGTTTTATTCATATTAAATTAAATTTGATAGATATCTGCTCTCAGAAAGATTTCTTTTATCACTTTTTCAATTACTTTTAAATTCTCTTTGAGTGTTTCTAAACTGTAGACTAGGTTAATATTATCTACATAGCTTGAAAATCTTACTATTTTTATCTCTCTATTCTTGAATAGATATGCGGTGTATATTGTAAATAAAACAGGTGAGATTGAAGATCTCTATGATACTTCTATTTTTATCTCAGTTTTATCTTGTTTCATTCCATCAAAAAATAATTATATAATTCTTTTAGACACGAAATAATTAACTCATTTTATTAGAGAAACTAGCAGTTTTAACATCTTCAAAGTTTGAATCATTTTTGACTTTAAAACATGATTAAATGCATCTTTTATATCAATGAAAACTGTATTTGAGACCAGATCTTCATTCTTTGCTATTTGACTATCATGAATAATTGAAAGAACAGTATTATGCATAAGAAGAGATATAATCTGATAAAGATTAATATGATATAGTAGTTGATTATATTATTAACATCTAACTATTATACAGTCTTTTATATATAATGAGTATTTACTGAGTGATCAGTGAACATCTTACTTATACAGAAGTAATCAGTCTGTAGAGAGAATCTAATAGCTAATATAATTTACATTTTTTTAAATAATAATAACAATTTTATAATATTTAATAAGTAAATAAATAAATTACATCACTAAATATAATATAGCATATTAATATACAGTAAAGTACAATATATAAAATAAATATTCAGATTTTTCAATTATATTAAATAATTAATTAGTGAATGTAATACTCTAATTAGAAAAAAATTCAAATATTGAAACTTTCTAATATAAAATAAACTCAGTTAAAATATATGATTGATTTACTGTTTCAATTTTATAAAATAATTAAAATAGTTTTAATTTCTTATGTTTTAATACTGCAGTCAGTTTGATAAATATATAACACTTTATTTACTTATTTTAAAAAATAGTTAAATTATTTAAAAAGAAATTCAGTGTGAAATAATAATATAACACAAGCTATTATTACTATAAAAAATCAACTGATATATTATTATAGTAAAATTGAACAATTTTTTACAGAATATTATACTGCAATAACTATATTAAATTTCTCTTATTAAATCAATATTTACATTTTTTAAAATTAAATAGAGAAGAAATGAAACTTATATATTAAATTAATCTGAAATTAATACATATTACCTCTCAGAGATTTGAATCCCTCGTTTAACACTTTTAAAAATAATGA